AGTATCTAAAATCGGCGAATCATTGGAAAATAAAAACTGACTGTTAATTTTCTTTGAAGTTGTCAAAAACATCAAAGTAAAATTTACTCTATTCAACTTCAATGCTTTTAAATTATTAATCTGTTTATCATTAATACAAATCAATAAAACATAATTTCAACTGCGCTTATCTAAGTTTATGCTAATTTCGCTTTGTGCGAACAGTTTATTGACAAATTTTAATTGTCTTAGTGCAGATATATTACGACTATATAAGTGCACTACTATTTACTCTTTCTTTTTCAATATAAAAATCAAGCATGTGAGTGGTGGATAAATGTAGTGGTTATTCTACGCCGAAATGATGAATAAGAAAGAGTGAAGTTTCTCTCTTAGCTTCGCAGCGTATTTGCCAAGATAACTTACTTTAGATTGGTTGGTTTGATTTCATTCATTTGAAATTCAGAAACAAGGTTTCATGCCTTTTAGAACTCACTAGCAAGAGGTTACATAAAACTTGTAGGAAACCCTCTTCTGATTATTTTTGAACAATAATTCCCCAGTTTAATGACAAAAATCTATCAGATTTCGTATGGCGGTCAGCCTTATAAGGAAAACGCCTTCAAAGCTGAAATAGACGTTACCGAATAATTTACAGGACCCGGTGAACTTGTGTAAAGATAGAGAATTATAGCGACAATATAGAGTTGGTTTAACCTCATTCTGCGAATTATTTTCAAGGGTTTTATAATCTTGCTAAGCAACTGTTAAATTTTTATTTTCCACAGAAAATTCCTGACCACAAATCTTCTTGTAATGTAGACGCCAACAAATTTCTATGTAAACTCCACTCAGTACGCACATGCACTTTCTGATTAATCTTTTTTTCAATGTGTATCTTATTTTACCGCCAATTCAACCTTAAATAAACAAAATTCTAATGTCTTTCAATTTAATTATTGCCATGTGATAAACGCATTATAGCTATTTATACCTCTTAGTTGATAACTAGTATAGCAATATCACTATTTGCTATCCACCCTGTAATATAACTGACTGGGTTTTCAGGGCAGAACTCTTCAAGGAAGTCCATCAGTTTAAGTTGCCATACAACATATAGGACGCACAGGCAAAGAAAATTATTTAAAAGAGGTATATACCGACGGAAGAATAGTCAATTAAAAAACATAAGTACTTAATGGATCTAGGAGATTACAAAGAGCCAATACATCCCCACCACTAAGAATGACTTTGAGCCGCATCACCAACAGTACCAAGTCTTTGGTTCTTGTCATCCTGAACTCCCCAACCAGACAATTTACACCTCCACATGTGGCTCAAACCAACAGTCACAGACTCCGTGGGTAGATCACCCATAACTCTCTCCAACCTAACCTTATGTCGCCTAAACTTGTCCGTCAAGGAAGACGATGGCTTGGCATGCGTAGTGCATGTCCTAACCATCTCGGTCAATATAGCTTCAAAACATCATCAACTCACTTTCCCTTCTTACCTAACACCCTACGCCTAACCTCTATATTACTTACCATATTATAGCACTTAACACTAGAGGTAGAATACAAACATCTGTGGTCAAAGACAGCTAGCCTTTTCCTATCTTTCACTTTCAATGAACATGTCTCAGAGAAATAAAGATAAAGAAAAATAAAGAATGCTGTACGGTTACATATCCTCTAGTCGACAGACGGATATCCCGTCTACTCCAGAGATTTTATCAGCCTCTTCATCTAAAGTCAGTTAGGGTCGATCCCATCAGTACATCTTTAACGAAACTAAAGACAAATAGGGACAGTGGGCATCTCAAACGGACGCCAGTGATTGTCATCATTTCAGATGAAAACCAGTGACTACTAAATAGTAGTTTCGACTTAGTTTAAAACCCCTTAACAATGCCATATCAGGGATCAAAGTCTGGACCTTCAGTTTGATCATTCAGCCACTGAGGCGGAACCCAATGGCCTATGAATCCAAACTCCTGGGAATTCCACTAAGTCTCTCTTGAGGACAATTACTCCCCTATAGCTGCCAATAGTGCTACATATTACGAATTACCAGAAGTTAGGATTCATTGTTAATGGCGCAGTATAAGGGATCTGTGTACTACTTATACGTCATTCAAATTTTTCTTACTGTCGGAATTTTTATTTCCGAAAATTTCACTTAAATTTGCGCGTGTTGTTTAGGGTTGGTAGCCAATAACAACACAACATCAGCGTCTTTCATCTAATGAAGTGTTTCTTAAATTGATGTGGGTAAATGAATTTGATTTTAAACAATTCACAGAATGTTACAGACACTTTAGTTTCTGATTATCAAGGTTTGTCAACACCCTATCCTCTACACACCAAAAGTTATCATAAAATGGAAACAAGTTTTATATTACATATAAAAGCTAGGAGCCTATTATAGACTTGCCATAGCTTGTGTAGTCGACTGAAAATTCTCTGACTGTGGGTGTTTAACCACTACATGAACTCGCGGACATATTTAATTAGCTTCCAACTCAACGCTGTGAGATTCTTGTAAGAAATGAAGAAAATATGTACAGAACTGATTCTCTCTTCATATGCAACAAAGCTACATCACATGGTATACTTCAGATCATGACTTTATAAGTAAATCCGGTACGAAGACAAAATATTTTGGAACGCTGAAAATTTTTGTACTGTTTGTTCATATATTGTCTGAAATAAAGCTTTATTATTTAAAGAACTACCGCCAAATCACCGATGCAATTAATTTGCGATTTGCAATTCACTAAGAGTTTCAGGTGAAATTTCACCACAGTTTCTTTTGGAAACCGAAATTTTTAAGATCACAGTGTGATCAGCTTCATACTATATATGGCAATCGAGAAAGCAAGCATAATTGCATGATATTACATACTACTGATCGGTTCGTATAAGTAGTTGACTACCACTCACATCAACCAGTAGTGCTTGTTAACCAGATCAAATTGATGTAAACACCGGATAGCCATTTGTGGCCAAGCTGATCAGCTATTTACCCAGTTCAACTGAGCTCAGAGACCCCAATCAATTGAGACCACCAGAATCCCAGCTAGCTTACTTGGGTGAAATGGTAATACACTGAATCCGATCCGTAATTTGCAATTCATATAGTATGAGGTATACCATTGATGGGTTCCGCCCAAAATAACTGGCCAGTATTTAGATTACTTCAATATGGCTAACAAGCACTACTGGTTGATGTAAGTGGTATCCAGCTACCCAAATGAATCGATCGGTAGTATATAACACCATGCACTTATGTTTCACTACTGATTTTGGAACTAAATGACTTAGAATCTTGATCTCGTATATTTCATTTGGTCAGGAAAAAGAACTTTACACAACTGTTAATCGTTTCGTTTATTTACGACATTATCTGTAAATTCATAAACACAGTTGACTAACAGTATATTTATCTGCTAGTGTAACAATACCTAAACCAACATGCAAATAAAAATATGACTCTATTCATCATGATTAACTCTTATCAGAATGATCACAGTTCGAAATATATCACTTAATTTTTTTCTGAAATACAAAACTCATCTCTATTAAATTATTTAGTTATTTATACATAAATGTTTCTGCTTATTGATCACACCATAGCAGAGATAGACAAGTTGATAGTAGTAAAATAAATACATCATTAATTCCACATCTCACTTGAAAACTATCAATTCAATTTTGATAAGTGTTTATTCAATCGTTTAACAATAAGACTTCATACGTGGACTACTTTGACCATTTTGACATTAACAAATAGAACTAAAGATTATTTAGTTATGTATAACGGCCACACAAAGACTCAAGGTAAACGACGTGTTAGTAGGCTGTTGAAAAAACATCAGGATGTGTCCAAATACGAGTTCACTCATATTCCTATGCCTTTTGAATGACTTAGCAACATGTCGTTTCCCGTCAGTTTACGTAAATGTTTCAACAGTTTAGTGGTGATATACAAATTAATAAAATATTGAATAAAACCACCAGAAGCATCTATGCAGTAAAATACTGAAACAAATAACCGGGGAAATAGAGTTTACTTTTCAAACTTGAAGTTAATGCAAACATGAATTTTTTTAACGTAATAATACTGTATTTAAATAGGGAAAAATCACGAAACCCGCTAACAGCATTTAAATGATCACTGGTGAATATCCCTACACTACAACGTGATATCAGCAACGCTGAGACATATTTTCAACGCCTGTAACCTTAGATAATAACTAGATAGATATATTAATCCACTGGAATTAGATTTCCAATGATATGCACCTACGACGACTTCGCTGAGACAACTCTCTTCACGATTCTATGTCTAATGTTTACGTCTTCAGTTTAGCAGATACACACACATACACATGAGAAATGCACAATGAAAGTGATAGTCAATAGATGTCCAGTTATGGTGACCCTAAATCGCACCAACAAAATATCCTACATAATCGACGAATTCTCAAATGTCAAAACAGGGCTGAATAAGCTGTAGTATTTTTTGGTAACTAGAACAACAACATCGAATGCAACTTAAAAGTATTCATTGGTTTACTAACAACCGCCCAAGCAAAGTATATATATATATATATATATTCTCAAACGCATATAGTTTTAGACTGCAAACATCAATCAATACCAGGAATCAGATGGGCGACCAGAAATAATAAGCCACAATGAACTCAGGCCATGTAGCAAACCAACGAAGAACTCATCACCCAACAAAGATACATAAAACATGGAGATAGGTTAGATATACGGCGGGGTGACCTTCAAGTGATATCACCCGCAGGACAGGCCTTGAGTTAAGTCTGAATACGAATCGACAAGTTGGGAGTTTGAGGGTGATGAGGCTATGTATTCCACCCAGGACCCGAGGGACGATCAACAATAATAAAAATCAGATCTCCTCATAGTCCACGAATTAATGTTTCTTCAGAAGCCTGATTAGTGTTAGTTGCAACAGATGTTCAGTTGGTAAAACATACCAATTTTCTGGCAGATAATTAAATTTTATTATTCTTTTATAACTGCCGTAACCTTTTACAATTAAAAAAATATCACAACAATAGTACCTACTCAAAATAAGAATATATTTCTCATACCTATCACAAATTTATCTTTTGGAAGAAGTCATAAAAGATTTTTCCAAAGCTCTAACACTATACAGTGAAAATCATTAACCTGAAAGAATCATAAAAATTAGGCATATCATTAGAGAAAACTCAGGCAGACGAATGAAGTTACTGTGGTGTATTAGATCGATCAAGACAATATTACAATCAAAAGAACAAGAAACTGGAAGAAATAAACATAAGGAAAAAGAATGATTTTATCACTAGGTCGCTAGATCAGCAGCCGTTCTTAACTTAATCAAATGTTTGATCTGTTGAGAAGATGCCTCAAGTTTTGCCCGCCGACTAGCTAATTCCAGAGATAAATTTACAGCACGACGAAAACAGGATTGTGCATGACGTAAGCTAGAAGGAACTAGTACTCCAGAAAACCATCGGATTGGGTCAGCTGATGGGCTAGAATCCATCTTGTTACTAGCCAATTCATCAATTAATTGAAAACGAACAGTTTTGAAATTCGTATCACAAACAGATTCTAATGGCTATAAATCAAAACAAAACTTGACATCATGTAATGAGTTATATACTGATTAGTATGGTTATTTATCAAAATGGAAACTTGGGAATATATTTTTCAAACTACTGTTGAAAAAGAGAGGCAAGTGATGCTCTTTAAGTGCAAGATCCCGTGACTTAAGCCATAAAGTAGTTTTAAAAGTCATGTAAATGAGTGTATATACACTTTTCTATAGAATGAAAACCCTCACATTTCATGACGAACGACAAAATCTAAGGCAGGCGAGGATCACAAACAATTTCCAAAGAAAAAGTTACTACTTGGTCATTTTTTTTCGTTACAAAAGTTTTATCTAATAATTCAGAGTATGATTCACGATCTGTCATATTTTGGCTTCTATGTTAGGCCTAATCTTAACAGCTGCCTCTTTCCTTCTATTTTTTCGCTTTCTGTTTTCACCTACTTATCATATATAAGTAGCATCATTCACAAAAATGTATTCTGCTACATAGCACACAATAGAGAACAAACACTATATTGTGAAACACCTTGTCACAAGAACACTTTTGGTTTCAACTTGCTTTTGAAATTCTAAGTATCAAGATTTTTTAAAATATTATAGCTGGATATCTGCTTACAATCATCCTCATGAACCCATCCATGCAATTCTGTTGTTAATTTTATTACATCTTCCCAATTAGCATCACAATTTATACTCGCTGCTTCCAGAATACTCGCTTATACCATCCTTAAACTGTGGAGGGATGAACGGTTCACCACCATAACTAACTTCAGTCTCTAATCTATGAAGCATTGCAACACTTAGTCTCACTTTAGATACACTACAATCTCTAAATTCTACTTTATCTGACTACAGTATTTGAATGGCTTAAGTTGGCATTACAACAACTCGAACACCTAGTCGTTAAAAATTTTTTTAAATAACTGATGCACCATCTCATTTAGAGAATTCATTAAATTAACTGACCAACTGAAAACTATTAAATGAGAACAGAAAAGGCTGATTCAAAACTAAAGTGGTCGATAGCATACACCAGAATCTGAAATGATGAAGTGCCAAAGAGTATTAAAATATTCCGAGAACTATAAGAAGATTATGTCATCACAGTCAAGTACATGGATAGTAGTTGTAGTATTAGTAGTGAGGAAGACTTAAACACCGATATGTAGTCGTATTTTAACAACTCTGATGTTTAAAGTGCAAAGTTACACAAAAACAAGACCAATTCAACGAAAAAGCGAATCCGGAGACTTCATTCCACAGGCCACTGGTTCATATCCGGCTGCGATTTAAATTTTCATTTACCCTTCAAAGATTCCCACAGTAAAACTGAAAACAATGCATGTAAGCGGACAGTACTGTTTTCAACTAGATAGGCTTTATTCCATGCATTTACTAGACGTTTGGAAAAATATCGTACAGCCATCATCCCTCTCTTGGCTAGTAGACACCACATCTCTTGATTATGCCAGCAGTACCACTTATTCATCTTAGTCCCTTTCTTACTAAGTTTTGTCAACTCTTCATTGTTCTTATGGCATCTTCAGTAAAACTAGGTTTATCTACTTCGCTTACAAGCGAGCATTACGTAATCTCACTGTAAGTTATGATAGTTTTTACCTACTACGTTTACGTGAAAATATGTTTGTATAGTCATGCTGTTTTCACTAATCCTATTATCACAAATCGCTGCATTTTCATCATTATTGTTAATAGAATTATTACTATCATGGTGCAATGGAGATGTATGGCCAAAGCCTTATATTCCACTCGGAACACAAGGAAGGAGTAATAATAAGTCTGCTTGTTGAATCTAACTTTATGGCAGCTAACGCAATGCATACGTGTATACAGTGTGAATTAGTATGGGTAACACAAGATAAAATAGCTGCATTTGAGAGAAGCCCAAAATTTCATCAATTGACTCTCCTTCTTTATCTGATAATTGCAAGCGACTTCAGCATTGCTCACACACCGTGATGTTTTCAAAACGAAAATGACTAAACACCTAAAGCCTTCGTAATTTTGAAAATACTCAAACTTCGACTAAACAGATTCAGTCTCTTAGATAAGCATAAAAATAATCTAAGAAGTTACCTCTTCGATAACTGCAGCACGAAAAGATGCTCCTCGATTAGACATTTCATTTAGATTATAAGAAGTTGCAGAGACTGAACAACTGTTTCCTCGAAGATTATGTCTTGTCTTAGCCAACAAAAGCCTACCCTCACCTATTTAATACAAAAGTTAGTTGAAATCCTTGGATTTACTTAAGGAATCTTCCAAATGATGATTCAGGTCAAGTATAATAGACAGATTTTCAAGGTGGTCCAGTACAAGTGCATCTAACTCGTCATCTGATGGTAACTTGTTCATTGCCTACAATTAAAGAAATAAAAAATAAGATTGATAACAAGTAACGTTTGATTGCATTCAGGTACTAAGTAAGCAATTATTTAGAAGTTGAATGTAGTGTGTTGCATGTGATTTTGGTGAAGATGTATCGTCTGTCTATTGTCAATTCAACAATCAGACTGCAACCACTTATTCTGCATACATGTAAGTTACTAATATATAAAATTAATCATTTAACCAATAGTTTTTGTCTTATATTTATTTGGTTTCTTTTCAAAAATAGTCATCACCGAAGTTCTGTTAATGAACAATGATTAAAAATATCGAATTTTACGATTGCAGTTAAATTGCAATAGACGAACACTATGCCAGAGTAGTATCTCCTATTTTAAAGTTTTATATGAACTAGAACAACTAAAAGTAACCAGCATGTTGTTAAGTAATTTAGAATACATTGGATTATGAGTGAATTAGTATTTGGATACATTAATTTTGATGCATTTGAATAGCTTGTCAAGATGTCGTTTACGTCCGGTCAACTAGAACAGGATGAGAATCATTTAGATTAGTCAAACTTAAGAACAGACGCAATGCTTAATAAATCAATGGACAAAAGCTTGTTGTAGTAGTACATATGAATTTACTACTTATTTCGTTGTAAGTAATGAGTATTCTTCTGCTGTATTTTCTACTGTCGTAACTTATTTCTTCTCGTTTAGCGGGTTTACCTAGGGAATTGGAAAATGCTGATTAGAAACCAATAGTACATAAGTGCTTTAGGGTTTGAAAGGAATGAATTGCAAATGAAGCCGTTGTAGTCACCAGCAGCCATGTAGAAGTGCCATGAGTATTACTTTTCTGATCTACGTATCAGACTTTAAGTCATCAGTTTGGTAAGTTAGCTTTACAACCATCTCCCACCTGTGCGTCTGGACAGTATTTCAACCCTCGTACGAATAATGAACGAAATTTTAGTGAGACCCAATGCGAACTATCACATTTCCTACTCCATTAACCAAATGTTTAATCAATTAGTTTACTATCATTACATTGTTTATCTTCAAATAAGGACTGCCTTGTTTTGTTGCAACCATCTTCACTTTTCTTTATTTTTATTTTTGTCACCTCCACGTCATCGTTTGTGAAGTCTCGCTCAATTTGTACCGTTTCAATCTTTATATGATTACTTCGAGAAAGCTGACGTCCGATAAAATATCTTATACAACACCACATGTAGGGTTGAAGCTTACCACTTGTGAACACTGATGAGAACGAGACAACAGAGAGATGTAGACAGAACCCTAGAAAATCTCGTTATTGATGTATACTCCATCTCCGAGACTGGCACATAACCTAATAAACCAACGCGAAATCATCCTGTAGAATTACAACGCAAATCGTCCTGCTATATAACAGAACATCTCTGGAATCATTGCTAGACTACTGAAACCTTTCAGAATAGATATTACCCACAAATCAACACAGCTTTTTTACTAAATATTCTGTAGGCCAAAACGAAAAATCAACATCAGTAAAACAGATTGAATGAACTGCAAAAAGACTAATTGGGATATAATGGACGTCCTCCATCTTCATATTCATGTAAGAAACTAGCAGTCAAAGGACATACGTTTCTTTATATCAGTACACGTGGAAAACTGAAACTAGAGAAACCTAAGATTTTAAAATAGGAAACGTGCAGAATTTCAGAGAATTACTAGAAACCTTATGCTTAGATCATTATGCCACTTACAAACACGTTGATAAAGATCAAAATCATCAACCAACAAAGAAAATATCAAGTGACTGGCTGAAACTCAGTTAGCTAACTATACCATTCTGCTCTCCATGCTGCAGACAGGGTGTGATTCGAACTCAGGACCTAATGACTAAAAGTAGACAGCTTAAGTCAGTAAGCAGGTGTTGATACGCTAATGAAGGGCACTCAATAAAGGACAACGTGATGTGCGCGCGAAAATCAGTCACAATTAAATAATTACACTAACTCTTAAGTTAATCGCCGTCTAATACTGTATGTTATTTGACACATCCAAAACCATAGTTTAGAAGACATATGCAAGTTGAAGGATGTCTTTCATGGAGATACACTACAAGATATATATCCAAAGTTTGTCACGTAGTCGCATGCTCAAGTCAACTTAGTCTAAATAGTTTGTACAATCTTCTCGCTTATGGAGATGTGTCTACATATTGAAAATGATAGCAAAGTGTACGAGTGAGGTGAACGCTGAGATGTGGAGAAAAAAGGAATACTCTATATTTATCAGAACTCTAGCCCCTTGTAAATCTTGAGTCGTGTTCTCTAAGCCTGGTGAGAAATAAATGACTGAAAAGTAACCTTCATCACCGCGACAGCGGGCCAAGAGCCTTGCGACAAACGGTAAAGAAAACGTGTTACAAACTACTACCGTCCAGTGAAATGATGCAGTTTCCAACAACAATCAAAATCCCAATAAAATCAGTATTAGATATGTCCTCACGGAATTGGTTGAACAGGATGAAACCATCGCACCTAAGAAAGCATATTACCTATAAACAACACATACTACCAGTATAATTAGGTAAACCAATAAGCAATTTTATAGTAAAATCAGAGGTCTCAAGGTGGATCTTCGGTTTGCGCGCCTACATCTCCCACAGAAATTTATTACTCGGACGGAAGTTTGGCTGTCGTCTGGAGATAAACGCAATCAAACGAGTATGGTTGCGATGGCATCGTAGAGAATGAACAAAGAATTCAAAGAAGGAAATGAGTTAGTTTTCTACATTAGTCAATCTAGATTATAGCCAGTCAGGTAATACGCGACCTTATAAAACAGGAGGTTCTTGGTCGGCAGGACTTAACAAACCTTGACATATGAGACTAAACGGAAACAACAACTGCTTGAATTTACATGGTTCCGATCACGGGACTTGATCAGATCACTGTTGCTGCTGGCTTTGAAATACGATCCCTCAATCCGGGAAGGAGAGTTGACAGAAATTCGTCAAGCGTCATCATGAATGTTGGCCTTTACGAAAACCCTGAAAATAAGACACGGCAGGGTTTGGATAGGGAACTACTTGGACTAGATTACCTCCCCATTGTATGCTACTGGTCAATGGAAGACATACAAAATTACTGATCAGCTGGTAGCAGCATGTGCGCAATAGCTGTATTTGATCTATCAATAAGGGACAACTACGGACAACTTCCCTCATTGAAATTGATATGGTAAGGTCAACTATTTTCAATGAGGAATTTGTCGTCAGCATCTCGGGATACCACAACAACAGTAGATGCGTACTGGGACTGGATATTAAACGATACGCAGTTAGTGATTCCAAATTTATGACGAAAATAAATAACGAAAAGAGAGCTCATTAGCTTTTATAATGTACATAGAAGCCAGGAGACATTAGAACAAGTGGAAAATTTCCTGGATATTCAGACTATTTATATAGCTGTAATGAACATGTCCTATGAGACGAACGCTCTTCTTGGAGTATTGTTATTGATTGGATGAAAAAATCAACTTCCTCAGTATTTGGTTCGCCCTCATAAGAAAATAATCCAGTTTTCTCAACATAAATGAAACATGTAGACAACAAACCATATATATACCTACATTTACGTAAATACTTATTGAAGTGCCTTGTCAACAAAGTAACGCAAAATAACGAAAGAGCGTGACCTTGGACCACGAAGATAAGTGTAAAATATTCAAAATTCAATCTTTGCCGTTAGCAAATACTAAAGTCTCGTTTGTCTTGAGGTAATTTTACTTTCTTCAGAGCCTTACGTCATAAACTCCTAAATGAAGGTGGTTGCCCCATAGAATATCTAAGCAACCTCATTTCAAGTATATTTGGCACAAATGAGGATGTAAATGCCAGTCAGGATAGGAAAAGTAAAACAGACCTTCATTAATCTGAAGCCAGCGCGAGAATCTACTGTATTCAGCTGAAGGGGCAGGATTAGGATTCTTAACACCTACATCAAGCTACAGCCTCTGTATTATTCAGAGAAGTACCGTGCGTTTTGAGAAACACATTTCTAACGGACTGCAGACTTTCAGTAGCAACTGTCTTCACTCCACCCTGTAGATTAAATATATAGAAACGATAAGCAGCAAGAGACCGGAGGAATGATTCAACTGGGAATCTTTATCCTGAAAAGTATGTTGGTTGGACACATAGTGAGGAGACCGTCGAGTTATATCATGCCTCAGGCGATCTAGTCTAACCATAATGGAAAACAATGAGTTGGGATTCCCAAAGTAAAATGGAGGATATCACGATAGGTGGAGACAGAAACTTGTGAGCGACTGAGAATACAGCTGACGGGGGTTTCGAAGAGCAGGATGAAATAGAAATTTGCCCTTGGAGCCCCATTTTCAACTCGGAATCCTAGGGAAATATATATATCTTTTAATTGCGAAAGCGACTTTATGGCGAAACCAACAATCACTAAGATTTTTCACCTTTACTGTTATGACTGAGTCGGTTTTTCTGATCACGGTGTGTATCATACCATTCATGAGAAGTCGTGCAATGCATCTGATTGCAGCACCGGTCTCTATGGAGGACGCAAATTCAGTTGTATATAGACCATCGGAACTAAAAATAATCCTCCTTTCTACTGGCATATTTTGCACATTCATCACTAATAACCAATATTTGTTTTCTGTGATGCTTTTCCGTTTAGACATGTTCGAGGCTGGACCCGTGTCGAGTCACAAGTCTTAACGCCAAACGCTAACAACTCACGGTCTCTGAAAACCGAAGAAGAAAGTATAGATAAATTATTTGCCATTTAAAAAAGTTAGTCCCTTTTATAAATTTTGATAGCATTATTAGAAGACGGAGATTATCTGAAGGATTCTGAAGAAGTGCATCATAGTCTGCTATGGGTAAACTAAAGCCATTTTAAACGACATAGGGTAATTTAAACCCACAACTCCGATGTATTCTCATGAGAAATCTTCACATCCCTGAGTAATTTTGCGAATGACCACTTCTCATAATCCGCCACGATGACTTCCAAATTTCCAAAAAGGATTTGGTAGCCGTTATTGTTGTAAATAGTACCTCTACTGCCCCTATAACTGCTACGTCTGTCGCTGCTGCCAACCCTGGTACTATTGTGGTGAGAGCTGTCTGCTAGCCAAAATTGGTAGGCAATAATTCACGTCGATGTTTACGTCCCCAAAACTGGTCAGGAGAAAAATAAGAACAAAGACTGACTCAACGACCAATCACAGCAGACTTTGCGTAGGCGGATACAATTCGCAGATAGATAATCTCAATTTCAAGAAACAGCCACAAAAAGATGAAAGATTAACGTTCAGCCAGAAACAACGAACCACAAAATTGTGTTTGCTTGCTAACAATAGACTATAATAATGTAAATGAAAATCTATAAATCTCTGTTGATTTCCTTGATAAACGATATTGTTGCCTGACCTTGTTTTCTGATGCCACATTTGGTGTCACTACCTGTTGCGAAATGAAAGTCCCATGGCCTGAAGCTTTTGAAGAAGGAGATATATGGATCTTCTTGAGAGACTTCGAAGCCATTGCATACTTGAATGGCGTGCAGGAGCCGTCAGCGAAGATGCTTTTACTTGGAACGCTACTGAGAGGCTAGGTGAAGGCAGCATATGAAGTCAGTAGCTGAATGCTTGAAGCAGGAGTTTGACAGCCCGATAGACAGAGAGTGGGCGATTCAGCAGTTTCGCGCCACGAAGCTGGGAGTTGACGGTGATCCGCTCGTATTAGCACTGATCTTGACAAGCCTACTGCGTCGGGCTCTACCAACACTGGACAAAGATTCTGAGGTACAAATGCTTTCGTCCCAGTTTATGGAGAGTGTTCCAGAACATATATCTCAACAGCTACATCTGGTTAACGCTATGCGGCCACTAGAAATTGTTTACGAAGGCGACCAGACAACTATTAAGCAAGACGGTTGCCGTGATAGAGCCACCAAAATGCGAGCAGTCTGAGAAACAAATCTAAGAGTCGCAAAGTGGAGTGGCCACGCTGAGACTGAGGGTGCGGAGAGACCGGCGTTTTGCATGTGACAAGCTGGGACACCGGAAAAACCGCTGCCAGGAAAGACAACAAAGAAGAAGTTTTAAAAAGTATATTGTGTCTTCTTCCTGTGTTCTGAGACTTTAGGTAATAGTGGCGAAGGCGAAGGGGGTGATATATTCAAAGGTACGTGTAAATAACCGCGAGTTGGTGTCTTTAATTGACACGGAGACAGCAGTCTTGCTCGCTGATAGAAGCCTATGTGAGAATATAAGACCGTGTTCGTTGACAGTGCAGACAGTGGGGGTCACATATTAAGAATCGCGGGAGTGTCAGACTGTCGGGTCAGTATTACAGAGGATGGTGTGACGTTCCCATTCCTGGTCGTACCTGAATTGCGCCAAGCAATCCTTGGGGCTGTTGTTTACTCAAAACCAACTCCATATTTTGGCGGGAGTCACCGATACTGCAGTCATCGTTCCATCGTACGCTGTTCGCTAGAAGACGGAGAAATACTGTCAGAAGTATTATTGTGATTAATTGTTATGACATTTATTCTTAGACTTTGTGTATAATAACCTTATGGTTGCTTCCATATTGGTGCAAGAATAAAGGATTCTCGAGTTACCAATCTGTGTTCTGTTTTATCGCGCTGGTTATTGCACATTGTTGCTGAAGGTCTTCTAAGTGTAGTTAGACCTGGACATTGGCAGTTTCTGATATCTCCTGGAATTATTCACCGTATTTGTTGGCAATTCGTCTTTCCTCGTGTCTGCAAGTTTTCCTTGGACGAGTGTTATTTGGAACTTTACTGGATCCTTTGGTGGCGTTCAATAATGCCTGGGCTAAAAAAAGGACGAAGCGTTTTGGAGGCAGACGACAAAGTAAGTCTTGATGATTTGTCTAATGTGTGTAATGTTATGTCTGATGTTATGTGGGATACTCATGATGTACCAACCAGAGAGATAAGTTGCTTAAAACCGCCGAAGTTCGAGCCTAGGTGCCTTGAAGGGAACCCTGCTGACTTTCCTCACTTTGTGAAAGAAATCGAAGTCATGCTAGAGGGTATGAAACTAAGTGATGAAATGAAACTAATTTACTTGTTGAGGTATTGTGCTGGTAGGGTGGCGAGTGCAATACAGTGTCGCAAGTTTATGCCCCCAAACGAAGGATACACTGAGGCAATGAGAATATTACGTCAAAGGTTTGGAAAGCCATTTATGATATTCCGTAATGTTTTTGAGACCGTTTAAGGTAATGGGGCGAAGTTAGGCGATAACTTATAAATTGAAATGCTTTCCTTTGTCGTATCTTCGAATATCACTTAACAATGTCTCATCTCATTCATTTTCTAATAACGTCTTCACTCGCTTATTATATTCCACTAAACCTAACATTTTATAGCTCTTTATGAACTTGATTCGACTTATTTTATTCCTATTCTCTATAGGGTACGGTTGTGCACCATATACACAAAAAGGTATCAAAATAAAACAACCAGCTTGTGGATAATTGTATTAAACCAAAAGTGGACATCATGATAGTAAGACCTATAGGGTAGCATTATACATTGCAAATGGACTTTGTCAGCCCAGGGATTATAGTCTCCCATTGTATTTCCTTTATGAATGCATCTATTAATGATACATTGCACTTGCCTATTTCACCACACTTTAATGATTCACCTTAGCACCCTTACTTTTCTAAAACAGCTTACTATCCCTTGTAAACGTTGTACTTACCTCAATATTTGTTGGTTATCGTATGCCTACAAACATGGGTAGAAAACGAAACGAAGTCGATTTTCCCGCGCAACTTGGAGGACTACTGTTTAATTCAATAATGATACGACATGGGTCAAACAGAGTGTATTTATATATATATATCAAATATTTAGCTGTTCGAACATTAACTTGTAGACAATCTACTATTTGACATTATATCATACTGGATCGTGCCTGTAAAAATGGCATGCATTTTCATGTAAATTTATGTTTATATGAAAATATAAACTATTATTATTAACTCTGAGGAACTCGCAGAGTTTTTGGATAACTTAATGGTGTACAGAAATACTCTCGTTTTTCTTAACTGTATGGATGAGTTGAACTCAAGCTCTGTTCCTGGGGCAATCGCTAAGAGATTACCGGTACGCTTACAAAGAAAGTTCATAGAAATCGGCTCCCGTTTAGAAGAGGATGGTCTAGAGGCCGGGTTAGATGTTATTGTGAGACTGGTAAGGGACACTGTCAATCAAGTGACGGGCAAATTTGCCAGCATTTTGCATCCAACAGTAGAACCTTAGGAATCAGTGAATAAGAAGAAGTCCCTTGTAGTGAAGGCACAAGGCACAAAGAGAAAGGGAGAGTGTATCGTTTGCCATAACATACACCAACTTAGTGATTGCAATCGTTTCATTGCAATGTCTCCAGTAGAAAGGTTGGGAATGGCAAAACAGAAGTGGTTGTGTTTCAGTTGCTTAAAGGTGGGTTGAACTGTAAGGCAAGAGACAAAGGAGGTATTGGTTCAACAGATCTGCATCCATTTTTGAGGATAGTAAACGAACCGGCGAATTCCGTTAATTGTAACAGTACCTTTAGACCCCATGGCGAGGATGGTGCGGTGAAGAAGCCTGTAGTTGCACCTGATAAGCCATTGTTGAATAGCGTGTTACGGAC